TATATAATATAATAAATAATAATAATTTTTAAATTTTATATCATTTTATTCTAAAATAACATCTAAAATAACATATATTTGAACGCATTACTTTATTTTAAAAAAATATTTATATTTTTCTATTTTTATTATTTTTAATCAAATAAAATATTTTAAAATAATAATTAAAATATATTTTAATATTAATTTTATATTTTAAGACTCAATTTTTTTAAAAAAAAAAAGTTGAATCATTACATTATTTTCTTATCCAAAAATTTATATTTTATATTTTTTTATAAAATAAGATAATAAATTTTAAATTAAAAATAATTTTAAAATTAAAATTTAAGGATGTACAAATTTTCAACTCTACTACTAAACAAACATAATAAATAAAATAATATTTTTAAATAATTATTTGATTATCATCCGCGCCAAACTTAATTAAAAATTAAAAATGAACTAAAGCAAATACCCTTTATACATAGGACTTAAACAATATAAAATGTTAAAAAAATTTAAAAAAATAATATTTTATCCATAAATAAATGATTTTGTTTTATATAACATACTATTTTTTCATATTCTTAAAAATAAAAATTTCAGTTTATTCAATAGTTATTAAAAACTTTGAATTAATTAGGATAATAATTTTAAATTAATAGTCTAACCATAGTAAATTTGAAATTAATTTGATTATAATTAAAATAATATAATTTAATTAAAATATATATAAATATTTTTATATAACTATGATAAAGACAATATTTAAATAAATAAAATATTAATTGCATATAATACAACAAAACAATAACAAAGCTACTTAAGTACCTAACTATAAAGTTAATAAATTATTATTTTTTTATTCTTTTCAAGTTAAAATAATATTTTACACTTAATAAAATTATTTAAAAATTAAAATTGATTAAAAAATAAAAATATTTTTAAAAAAGTTTCAAAAATTCGATGAGTCCGAATAAATCCAAAGTCCAAATGAGTTAGGGCAAGATTTGATTATATAGACTTTTTTAAAAAAATAAAATTTTTAAACTTGATTTAAATAAATCCAATCCAAAGTGAGCTGACTTAAATAAATTCAATCTGCGCGCTAACTAATAAACGGGTCCTCGCTCTAAAGCCAGATGCTCTAAAAAAACATTCCATTTTTTCCCCAGCCCTGTCTAAAAGGATTAAGGTACTTTTTAAAAAAATTATTCATTCTAAAGTTCAAAACAAATCATACAGTAATCCAGCCAATTCAGAGTCGAGATCAAGATAGTCAGATAGAGGCACCTGAAGGCTAAGGCCGAGATTGAACTAGTTACCGAGCATTGTGAGATCAAAGACCAGCGATCGAGAGGTGAGATCGAGACGAGTGACCGGAGGGAGAGCTAGCGATCATGAATCCAAACTACAAAAATTGATCAAAAGGGCAAAAATACCTCAGTACCGTGAGTCTATGACTTACTGACTCGCTGTTGCAGAGATCATCGTGTGAGGGAGGAGAGGGAGAGGTCAGAGGAGAGCACTGTCTGTGTCAACTCTAATTCTCAAAATATCAGTTTTTTTATTTCAGCTAATGGTTAGATAAATTTCGTCTAATTTTGCTTAATTAAAGGGCTAAAATTTTGAGCATGAGAGAATAGCAGAGACTCCAAATTCGTTGATTGCAAACTTGAAAGTATTGTCGTAATGCGGAATACATATGCGGGCAGCATGAATGGTTAGTTTGTGGTGTGTTTGGCATTGGCATGGAGTTTGCAAGCGTATGGCTAGCGACCATGAGGTCGGGATAGACCGGTTCCTATCAATCAACACCCAAAAACTGGACAATGTGAGATACCCCAATACTACATATACATAAATATAAATTTGCAAGGTGGTCATTATACTCTAATTGATCTTGGTCCAATACATACACATGTTCCAGATGTTGACGCCTCTGTCTTATAGTTAAATGATGCCAACCTATATTCAATGTCTTATAATTTATTGTATGAAAAAGAAAGAAAATTCAAGTCCATGATCTCGAGCAGTCGAGTGTGAGGGAGCACCGTGAAGCCAAGAGTGACTAAGCAAGCACCTGAAGCCATAAGACAACGACTCACAGCGAGAATAGCAGCCATGGCGAGACAAGCACCCACGATGAGATGAGAGATCGCGAGAGTCGAGAGGAGAGGCATAGAGTCGAGCTGAGTGAGTAAGGGCTGTGAGCTTTGGGTATTTTAGGCCAGAGTCCATGTGATGGAAGCAGGGGGAAAAAGTGGAAACAGGCTTGAAGCGCCTAAAAAGGCCAAGCTTCGAAGCCTTAAAAAACGGATTTAAATGCAAGTTTCTTTTAATCCAATCTTTATTCCCGATGGTCTTTAAAATAAAATTTAATATATTAAATAATATATATATATATATATGATTCAATATATATTAATAGTTTAATATGAGAATTCACATGATTAATTATTTTATTTTTAATATATAATTTAATCTCTAATTGAGTCATGCGTTCTATTTATTTCTCTTAAAGAAGCTACACTTAAAAGAAAATAACAGACAAAGAGGTGGACCTTCGTTCTTGTGCTTTGAAATTTGTTTGACTTTGTTTTTTTTTTAAGAATAAAAATGAGTAAATACAATCAATCAAAGAGGGGCCCAAAAAGAGCGAGAAAGACAAAAGGAAAGGAAACAAGAAAATTGAGAACTATAACAGCTACTGCATTTTCATATTTTTTGGGCCTGTGTTAGCTTGATTTTTGGTGAAAGCGTTGGAGTGCTACGATCCTTTAGATGTTTGAGTGTGCTAGGCATACTAAAAGAATGTGTCCTCAAAAGAATGAGTTAAAATTAAAGATTGAAATGAATTTTCAAAGTCCCTTATCATAATTTTTTTAGAGAGTCAAGTGACTTGCGAGAATGACAACGAGTGTGCCACAAATGAGTGTGAAGCACAATAACATTATTTGAAAAGGTAAGTATAATGAGATGCTTCAAAAATATGGAGAAGTAGATAAGTTTGAGAAACTATTTTAAGAAACTAAGTTTGCATAGGGAGGGTAAGTCGGTAAGGTGAGATTGAAGATGATACAAGGTGAGTAGTTGAGTAATTATGCAAGGCAAGTGGTGTAAATTTGACAAAGTGTTGACTGACCTTGAATTATGTGCTTATTGTTTATTTATAAAAAATGACAATGGCCCGCTCCTTTTCAAATTCAAGTTTGGCACCATAATTAGGCCTAGCTTCAATTTTTGTAGCTTACTAAAAGAGTGAATTAGCAAGGAAATTAATTAGAAACAATTATTTTGTAGCTTGATTAGTGAGGCATTTTTTTCCTCTCTAATTAGTAAAGAAATTAGAGATCAAATTAGTGAAGCCTATTATTTATTGACAGCATAAGGAGTAAATTATGTCAATAATGAGGATTATCTTCTTCAAGGTATGGAAGGAATGGACCTCTCCTAACTAAATTGCTATATATACAAAGGTTAAAATTTAAACTTTTAACCACTTGTTTAAGTATAAAGTTCTTCTCACTCACACCAACTTTACTTGGTTAGTGAAGTTTATTTTATTTCTTGATAAAATAATTCTTTGATCAAAACAAATTTATTAATTTTTAACATTCCCAAATTTCCCTTCAAATAGATAATATAATAAATAAAAAATATAAGAAGAGTAAATGTGAACATGTAATTCAATAATGTAGATTTAATTTTTCATTAAAAAAAGCTTCAAGAGTTCAAGTTATTTATAGTTCAAATTATGTATAGATCAAGTGACAGAAATGGTGCACGAAAGGCGGAGCCCTATGTCATGGCTTCTAGCCTTGGTTATTAAATTGGACGTGGCGTTGCACATGTGAAGAGGAACGACGTGACACAACAATTATTAAATTTCATTATTTAGAAATTGATTAGCAAGAAATAGACATTGAAAATAGTAAAGAATCTATCCCTTGATAATTCCAGTATCCTCTCACTGAAATGCTGTTTTCTAGCGGTGATGGTTGGATATCAATCTTACTTAAGCTGGAAGATGACAGTTGTATTATTAATGGTCTGTGAATATATGTGCGCGCGCTCGCTTTAATTTTGTTCATGCAACTAACAATGCTCATTAATTTAATATTGCAAATTGATGATTGTAATAAACGGCGAATGAAATTATAAATAATATCCTCTGGCCAAAAAAGTATGGAAAGAGACAAACATTAAAGAATACTCCATCCAATCCCTATCATAAAGAAGTTCTAATAACTTCAAAGAAATTAAGAAGAGAATATTACATTATTAACTTTTTAAACATAAAATAAACCTCCAATTTTACCCTTATTTAAATAAAAAAATTTTAAATTTGCACACATTAAGTTCTCCTTCATAATCTATGATTTTAAATATGTCATGGCCATCTTTTTGTATGCTAATTAATGAGAAATTATAGAGATGAAGATTTAAATAAGAAAATTAGTTAAAGACAAAGGAATATGATAAATGATTATTAAAAGATTGGAATTAATCATTGAACAAATATATTCATAAGAGATTAAATAATAATTGGGAGAATTATGTTTTTTTATTACAAAATGATAGGACCAATCTTGAGTAGAATTACATGATTTTGTCCGATCAATATAGGTCATAATATTCTATTAGAGATTTATATTAAATGCTAAACTCATTCTTTCTATTATGAGCTTTCCTAGCAAGCCAATTTGCTAGTCTAATCACCTCTTTTAGTGAATACATAATTTTTACATTATAATCACAAAAAATTAAATATCTCACTTCTTGAATAACAAGTTGCATTTGATGATTAATCCCTCCCTTTTTTATCAGTTTGGGAGAATTATGTTAATACTAGTGGTTGGAATATACTCAAAAGAATCTAACCCTCACAAATTTGGGATGGCCATGTGAACAGTGAATAAACAGTGAACTGCCAGAAATGCCCCCAGTTTCATCTTTTTATAGCATCAAGTAAGGGTCTAGAATGGTAAAATACTTGAAATTGCCCTCCCCTCGTTGATTTTTGCTCTCTCCCGCGTCTTCTCCGAGCGTGCCGTAGACATCCTCACTGAGGCCGTTGCCATCATCCCTATTGTCGAGCTCTATGCGGATCGGGCCCAGGCTAACATCAAACTCAGCAACTACCGACTATCAAAATTTCTCGGACGACGGTAGAGAAGCATCTGTAGCTGTTCACCCTAGCTTCACTGGGATCTCCACTGCCGACCTCTGGTACGTACCTCCACTCCAGAAGTGGAATCGGCAAAGAAGAGATGCAAGTTCGTGATTGATAGAATCCAAGAGTTGCCTGCTTCCACCAAGATCACTGACTCTTGCCGCGCACCCTCCTCAAATTAGCTCGCTTCGAGTTCTGTTTCCTCTCTCGCTTCTCTTCTTCTTCTTCGAATACTACTGCTACTATTATTTCTACGCCTCTCAGGTTCATCTTGTTTCCATTTGCCTTTCAAATGTTTCCATCTGTTTGGCTGCTAAGGGAATTAGTTCCAGTATGACTGGTGAATCTTTTCTCTTTGTTTTCTTCGTGGATAAGAACAATTTTAGTGTTCTTCTGTGTTAAATGAAGAAAGGTTTAATTTTTTTTTAATTCACTTAAAAAATCATTTTATGTTAATTAGATTAATTAAGGTTTTCCCTGGATGAGTGAGACATTGAAGGAATGCGTCTTTTCTCTTCTTCTGTGTCCTTGCTGCCTGTAGTAACCAATGGACATGTAAAAGACTCAGTTTCTTTGGAGAATGCTAAGAAAGATTCTTCGTCAATCAGGAATAGTTTTGAAAAAAATAAAGTAGATGCTGTTGACAGATTAAAAAGGAAGGATTCAGTGTTAACAAATAAAAACACTGGTATTCATTCTGTTGAAAAATATCCCAGAAGGTCAGATCTTATGGATGACACTGGGAGAAGCAGAGCAATATCAGGACCTTACAACCATAAGCTAGAAGCCAATGGTCTTAACAACAAACCTTATTCATTGGAGAAGAAGAGGAAGGAAACAGAGTCTACTAGCATTTTGCTTGCACATGATGATCAATCTGAAGCACGAGTTTAGGAACTTAAATACAGGTCTGATATGCCTTAACTGTGCCCTTTCTGAACTCTTTCATCTAACATGAGTTAGAATGTTAAAATTTAATGGATATTTTCTTTTAGTATGGCCCGGCTATTCTTATTTTACAAGTATATATTGATGATCTATCACGTTCTACTTTTGGCTCTTTCTTAATCCCTATCATACAATCAATATTAGCTATGTTTGAAATCAGTTATTCGGTTGATGCTTAAGAGTTGCAACTATTACTGTTTGGTTATTTATATTGATGGGATTGCCGGAATATGATGTTGATGGGCACCCAAGTCGAGAGGTAATATAATGATTTTTTTTTTTTTGGGGTATACATAATGGATTAGTTTATTTGTTGCATCTTTGGCGTTATGGATCTGCAAGTACCAATCTTGAATTGTCTTAAGTATCTATACTTTGTTGTAGAAATAGGAAACAAAAAAGAATGTCATACCTGTAATTAGTCTTACTTTGGTTACTATTGAAGTTGGGAATTTATGGAATATTATTCTTTAATTGGATTTTTATTTTTATTTTTATATTAACTGTTTGAGTATGAACTAATGGTCATGTTCTTTCTTCACCCTCTTCAGTATAAAATTTGGCACGGGTATAAATCATCCGTTTGAATCTGTGTACACTTCATTTCTATTCTTCCTGGAACCATTCGAATATCTTCTTCACCTTCTTTCTAATGTTTTTCCTATCTGATCTTAATTTTAAATCATTATCAATCTTTTTTCATCCTCACCATTTGTCTCTGGTGTGAGTTGATTATTTCAAGGGAGCCTCCTGTGCTAAGTCTATGAAACCTAATTAAATTGTCAGATTTCCATATTGATTAGAAATTTAGACCGTAAGTGCAAAATATTCACAGGGAAATTCGCTCCTTCAAACACCAAAGTCATTCCCTTTCTTGAAGATACTGATTTAGAATGCAGTAGGCATAAGAGCAACAAGAAAAATAGGGTAAGAACAATTTGTTTAGATTCATACCAACCATTTAACTTGAGAAATGTGATGATTTTGCCAACAGCAGCAATGAATAACAATCATAAAATTGAAGATCAAAAAGATGCTCTGCTGCCTCACTAAAACAATCCATCTCTCTGAGTGTATCCTCAAACGAGGAAGATGAACTTAGTTTTATGTTTAACTTGGTACTAGACAATCTTTTCTGCATGACATGTATGTACAGTGTAATTCTATTTTTTTCTTTGTGCCATATAATAAAAATTGCATACAAGCTAAATACCTGTTATAGATGCTGATTTTTTCCTTTTTTTCTTCTAATCCTTGCAAATGTTTAAAAAAAGGATGATGGGTGCAAGTAATGTAACTTTCTTATTTTGAAGGTTACTAAAGGTTTGTTCTTTCTTTTTATAAAGTATTTGCCATTTATCACTCCTATTTTTTTTTTCTTTTTTATTTTAGATGGCGATTGATAGTACATGTTCTCTGGAAGTGTTTGGGGCAGTGGATATGAAGGTTCAGATAATGTGATTACTGATGAGATAGAGCTCCAGCAACATCAGAAACTTGAGAAGCTCTACATATCAACATGAGCGGGAAAGGTTACTAGGTCCTCTTATGCCAGTTCTTTATTCTTATAAACCTTTTACCAATGGGTCGCCTCAATTGATTGTTGATGACATGAGTTGTTTTTGCTCAACATTATCAAAGGGATATTGTCCGCGTGGTAGAAGCTTATATTGCTACTGGATTGAAGCAAGTTGAAATAGGTTAGTAACATTGGGAGGTGAAATTGGTACTTGCTCTTTTTGTTAAGGGTATGAAATCTTTTAAACTGGAATTTTAAGGGATGAATTCATTTGTTCAACATGATGTTCATTTCATCCTATCATTAAATATTATTTTGTCTTAGTAAGTGCCCCCACCTTCAAGTGTGCCTTTTGCCCCAAATATGAGTCGGATATGTTGACGGATTATTTATTAAAGATTATTCATGTTAATCATGTTCATATGATCACATTGGTGGTTCATTCCTGATGCTTTGCTTATATTTCAATTTTCAAGGAAGTTAAGCTCAAGGGGAAAAAGAGTTTAGCAGGACTTTACCGTCTTCTGGCTGATGTGATAAGTAGGCACGTAAGCCACTAAGTGCAGCAGCGTGGAGACATCTTTTTGGTTTTTTTATTTCAACAAAGTGCAATTGAGCAGCTTTAGCTGCGTATGTTTCATTTTAGTCTTCTTTTTTACTTTCATCTGAATCAAGTAGGTTCTGGTAGTTCATGGAATTCATTTTCAAGGATCTTCCACTCTTTAAACTTATTCAATAAAATAAAATGATAACTGGTCTTATTTCTTCATATAAACCAAGGTGAAAGAATAAATAGAAAAGAAAAATTAGATAAGATAGTAAAATGGGTACATCGGCTTTTGGTCTGAGTTCACATGCTTTTCTTTTTAGAACAGTGGTGTAAAATGAAGCCGTCACGCATCAATTTTAGACCCACCAAAGCTATGAGTGCAAACCTCAAGTGAGGGAAAAATGGCGCTCATGAAATTTCATTCTTGTACAGAAAAGTTAGAGTTTGCTATAATATATCATTGATATGAGTTTAGTAACTTATCGCAAGTATACTTTGCAGTTCCGAAAAAATATCAAAAGTAGGGTGCCTCTATCGAATCCTCAATTTGCATGAATATGGGATTGCAGCTTTAGTTAGGGATTCTATTAGCAGTGTGTGTTTGGATAAGAGTAATAATTGATTTTTTAATTCAAAATTAATTTTTTAATCCAAGTTATCTAAACAGCCAAAAAAAAGTCAAAAATTGATTATTGGCTTAAACGCACATTTTTTCACAAGCTCTCTTAGTGAACTTTGTATGAAAAGTTGATCGAAAGTGTTAGGAAAAATTATAAGGAGAGGTTAAAAAAAATTATAAAAAAAGGCACAACATTGAATAAAAGTAAAATCAAATTCTCTTCTTTTCTTTTTTATTTTTTTAAGTAAAATTTAAATTTTGAATCTTTAAAAAAGTTGCTAGCATAAGTTCCTGTTAACCACTATCATTCACTTAGCATTTACTATAAAATTAATTCAAATTCAAATAAAATATTAATTGGTAGAGAAAAATTAATTTAATTTAATTTAAAATTTAGGATCATTATAAAGATTGTTGCAAAGGTTCAGAAAGAGAGAGAGAGAGATTTTGCGTCATTTGTTACATTGCTGCATTTTTTATGTTGTTAAAATTTTAAGATAGTGCTTAACATTTTTGTTAGATATAACTCATTTATGTGATGTCATTAAAGATTAATTTGTATATTATCATCTTCATTAGTTATTGTAAAATTGATGTTTCGTATTTAAGAAATAAATCTTTCTCTTTTATTAAGTTTATTTTAACTAAGATATATTGAATTGTTCATTTATGTAAATTTAAATGTTAATATTAATATACTTTAAATTTTTTAATTAATTAGATATGTAATTTAAATAATATATTTTACTTCTTAAATAAAATGTAACAACTTTAATAATATTAGATACAAATTTATCAATAATTTAATTTTGAAAGGCAATGTTTTTTATAGTAATTAATACAAATAAAATTAATTTTAAATAAACTATCCAAATATCTTCAATTCTATTAAAATTAATTTTAAAAAAATTGAATCCAAACAGCTTGCGTTATAACATAATCAATTATGATTAAAATCTACCATTTAATCAATTATTTTTATAATTTATTATACCTAACTGAAATCCAAACGGGCACGTAGTCTTCTTGAAGGTACTAGAAGTACCAGACTTGAAACATCTTGAGAGACTGCTTGTGATCGTCTCTTGATTAAATCAACATATACTGTTTGTATGAATTGATTAGTTCTATGTTTTTGTTTTACATAGGGGTGAATGTGATTACTGCTATTAATTTTGATAGATTAAACCCAAAGATTATGTGGAAATGATTTCACACATGAGGCCAACCATATGGGTTGCTTTGGCTAATAAAGCACCTGCTTGGGTATCGTACAAAAGGAACAAAACCTCAGTACATTGAACTCTTAAGAGGGCTTTAGGACTGCCTTGCATTGAATCCGGTAGGGGGAAATACATGGTTATTTTTTTATTAAAAAAAAAACGGAAGGATAATCCATGGTTACATGTTATATTGTTATTTTTCTCTTTGTTAGATTGGAATGAAATTCTTGATAATTTATTATGATTGTTTAGTTCTAGCTAGATTGAATGATTTTCTTTCCCTAGATTATCAGTTTTTGTTATCATTTTAACATTAATACTTGAATATCCTTGATCTATTTATAATTTAGGTTTGTTTTTTTTAGTCATTTGGTAAGTTTATGTATGTTTGTTTATTTTTATCTTTGGTTTTTTAAATGATGAAGGAAATTTAAAGTAATTAGAACTCTGAAATCATATGTTATTCTATATAGAATGAAGTCATTAATTTCTTTTGGAAAAAAAAAACCACCTTCAGCGTTTTATTCTGAAAAGAAAGTAGTTTGGCTTAAGATGTTTCTCATATCATTTTTACTGTAAGCAATCATCTTATCTTTAATCTAGCAAATGCAGCATAGGCAACGTTGGCATCCCTTGTATGTCATAAATATTTTTTTTCCCCAAAATATTTGGTTGTGCACTTTTTTAATATATGTCCACTTCCTCTTTCTCAACAATATTTGTTGGATTCCTTAGAGATGGTTACGGCACCTTATACGACAGTAGAATTGCTAAACAAGAAATGATGTAATTCTGTTCCTATCTCTCTGTACTATCACTATTTGAATGTTGTTTTTTTTTTTTAAAAAAAAAACTAATGCTTATATGTATGGCAAGATAGGGATTCTTGATGGAAGAGAGATATGTTGAACAAAAATATTGTACACTAAAGAAAATGCAACTTATTTACACTAAATATGATATGTTGGTCACACAAAATAAATTATTTTTAAATTTATATATTTTATTTTATTTTATTTTTATCTTTTAATATTAAGATAACCTGGCACGGGGAATAAATCTAGTTAATGATAACTTTTTTTTGATTGCCTACTTGGTTCGCCGGAGCTTCACCTCGATTACATCCAGATCCGACTCAGGTTGTGCACTTGGCTTTGGTGGGTGAGTTTCCCAACAAGAATTTTTTGCATACACGAGGCTCATACTCGAAACCTTGCTTAAGCAGAATCGAGTCACTTAACACTCGAACTAACTCTCGTTGGTAGTTAATAATAACTTTCATCACAATTGAATGTTGGACGTTCCATAATTGGGCTATATTTGATGGCTATGGGCTTTGGCTTGTTGGACTTATATTTGATGTGTTTTGTGGTTTGAGTCAGAATTATGGGTGCTCAAGTGGAAGACATTATATTAAACAACACCCATTTCTTTATAGGAAGAACTTAGAGAGAGAAAGCCTAAGAATTCAAGGCTTTAAAATACTTTTTGTTTTTCGGTCGAAAGAACGATATATATTGCAGGAATTAAATGATTATATCAAAGGGGGATCAACATCCCAACGAGAGGCACACCCCTTTGTAGTAAGATTTAGCAACCTAGTCACTTGCTAAATTAATAGATCTAGAAATCTAGCTAAGGGACTATCTTTTATTATCTATTATGAGACCTTGAATCTTTATAATGAAAGTTGAGTAGCTCCAACCAGGACAAGCAGCACCAAAATTGATTATATTGACAAGGGAACGATAGTTTGATTCAACAATCATAAAATCAATGCCTAGATTTAAAGCATGGAGGAGAGCCTTATATAGGGCCAAAGTTTCTCTTGAGAATACAGAAGAAGCCTGTATAGTTTCTCTATATATAGAGAATAAAGTCCCTTAGTTGTCAAGAAAGACAGCACTAGTAATACCAGCATAAGGATTATCTTTCACTAAGGAAGCATCAAAACATTGCATTTGAGAAAAGGGGGTCCAATGGTTTCCAGTTTTCACCTTGGATTGCCTTGGGTTGAGTGTTGTGGTTAGAGTTGATGTGTGAGAAGTAACCATTAATGTACCAATATTTAGATAAAGAATTTTTTGCATGTTTGGCCACTACATCTGGGTTAAGAATTTTACCCTCAAAGGTTTTTGCACATCTATTTTCCAAATATACCAAGTTGTCACTACTACATCCTAATTATCAGTTGCATTTGATCTAAGAAACTTAAAAAACCAGCCATCAAATCGAGCTACATTCCACTCATCTACACAAAGACCTAAGTTGCTTATGAACCATACTTTTTTAGACCAATCACAAAGAAACGTGTGTTCATAGGTTTCTACATGGTCATAGCAGCAAAGATAAAGAGGGGTAGGTAAAAACTTGAAGTTAATACTGTCTCACCAAAAGAAGCTCCACCTTCTCTCTAGTTCCTGGAGAGAAGGTTCAACTTCTTTTTCATTCCTTAATCTGTCTTTTTCTTCTTGAGTTGTCTTATGATCTTTAAGACACCTTTTGATCCCAACTTCACTTTCTTAGCTTTCATATCTCATAAGGAGATGATGAATCCCCCTGTATCTAAAGAAGAGATGGATTTACTATTGAGAAATAATTCAAAGCCAGATGATGTGATGCATGAAAAAGGCCTAAAAATGCTACAATAATAAAAAGCCATCAGGCCTGTTGCGAATGAGAATACTCTTGACCATCCAATGGATATACAGCACAATAATGAAAATGCTACTAACTCAGACAACATCAGACTATCATCATTCCATGAACCTAAAGCTCCCTTATCATATAAAGAGTCCTTGATTGGCTCTAATAGGTCCTACGGAATTAACATTGAGAGAAATGCAAGTTATAGGAATGAAGATCTTGCCAAGGAATTGGATCAAGACTGGTCACCTTCAAAAAGAACCAAAAGGCTTATATGGAGCAATACCTAGTTCTTCATATTTCTAAAGAGGAATGGAAAAACATATGTCTACCTTGGATAGATGCTATAGTCATCAACACATTGGGTTTGCACCTCAATCCTAAGTCACTCAAGCTTAAGTTAGCTAGAATGTGGCAGCTAAGATTTTGAGCTAATAGATCTTGTCAATTGTTATTATATTGTTGGAACTAAAGACCTATTAGCTTATAATAGAATACTTAATAGTGGTCCCTAGATAATTTTTGATCATTACATATTAGTGCAATGTTGGTCTCCTAATTTCAACCTAAATGCTAATATATAGGGAAAATCACTTTATGGGTAAGGCACACAAGCATTCCAATACAATGCTACAACAAAGAAATTTTATGGAGATTGGGAAATTGCATTGGGAAAATGCTGGAGGTGAAACTCATTATCTGAATCCATATCCAAGGATGAATAGGG